GACGGGCCTGGGCGTGGGATCCGCGCCGCCCGGGAGGCCGCCGCTCGCCCGCCCGGCCAGCCCCAGACCGCCGTGCGGGGTTCTCGGAGGTGGAGACTGGATCGGGCTGGCCGGCCACCAGTTCCGTCCAAAGCACCCCACGAGTCTGAGAGCCCGCGTCTGATGAAAATGCTGCCACCGGTGAAATGCAACACGCGGGGCTTTTCCAAGGCAGACATTTTAACCAGCCTGGAGAGGAGCGGCCAGAGGAATGAAACAAAGTGTTTGAGACATCAGGCAGGTGCTATGCCACAGACTGAAATGTTTCCAAAACAAAAACTGGAAACATTGAATCCGCGCGCTAAGAGGACTGGTTTTAGTCCTCGCGATTTTCTCCGGCAGAAGATAGTACAGAAGATACATTGAAGGAGGGATAATTTTGTTGCCCATGTGGATTATTAAAAAATGTTATTCTGTAAAAGAAAATACCAACTATGAATAAGAAAGTGGTGACATTTAAAGGAGGACGCTTTTAATAGTCCTTCAGTTATCCACAGTTCTAAATCAACCAAGGTGAAGATAATGGTGAAATAAAAGCATAAAATATTCTAAAGGATAAGTGATCAGTGCGTGAATAATTTCTTTTAGGAGGAGCAAGTTAAAGTTGCTTCCTAAGAGGTGAAATTTTAAAATATCCCAAATGCCCAGTGCTTCCAAACTGTTCTACTCCATCATCTCTAACATCAGCTAGCCCCCTTTCCTTCAGCTCTCTCCGTCGCAGTCTTGGACTTAATTTGGACATAATTTGCAGAAATACTTCACATAACACACAAGCCATGAAGGAGCTGACTCCTGTGGGGTTGGCAAATCCAAATTCCTGCATGAGTCAGGCTTCATCCTGGAGGCTTCTCCTGACTCACATAGTTGCAAGGGCTGAGGAATGCAAGCAGACAGGCCGGGGTTTGGACTCAACCTCTCCTCTATACACAGGTACCACAAGGTAGAACTGCCCTGGAACCTATTGAGAAATATCTGTCTGTCT